CTGAGGAAACCATCGAAGATATCATATGTGAGATTGTTCGATGGCCTGCTGATAGGCAATGGAACAATAAGGATAAAGCACGTCGAATAGCTGGACTATTTGGTGCGCCAAGCGCAGTCATCGCTGATTTGTGGAATCGTATTGAGCCAACGCTTCATCATGATGAAAAATCAGCTGAACCAAAACACCTCCTATGGGGACTGCTATTTCTCAAAGTGTACGCCACATCAGAAGAGGTTCACTGTTCAATAGTGGGATGGCCCCACAAAGATACCTTTCGAAAGTGGTCCTGGTACTTTGTGAGGAAGATCTTTGACCTTCAGGCAGACGTGATTGTATGGGAGAACAGATTCCTTCGTCAACCTCAATCATCGACTGGGGAGTACTTGCCACAGGCAGATTGCATGATATCTGTGGACTGGACTGACTGCCCATGCTACGAGCCTTATCCGTTTAGCAAAGAAATGTATTCAGAGAAGTTTAATGGTCCAGCTATTAGATACGAAGTTGGAATTTGTATAGAAACAAGTTACATCGTATGGATTAATGGTCCCTTTCCTGCAGGCACTTCAGAGAAGAGAATCTTTGACAGTGAGCTTGTGACAAGGCTTGAGCACTGGGAAATGGTCGAAGCTGATAGCGGACTGAGGGGAACAATTAAAGCAAAGACACCAAATCAGGGGATAGACAGTAAGCAACGCAAAGCGAAGTCAATCATCAGAGGACGCCATGAAAATGTGAATGGAAGACTGAAGATATTCAATGTACTGAATGCTTCTTTCCATCACACCAAAGGCAGGGACAGAGATGTAATGATCGGAAAGCATGGAATGTGCTTTGCAGCTGTTGCAGTAGTCACTCAGTTGAAGCTTGAGCATGAAGGGGGACTGTTTCAGGTCGACTACGACGTCCGATACTCATAAAACACTCAACAAAACAGCACAGATTTTCTGTATCACGATGTATGCCTCCATCCCCACGTCAGCTAGTAACCATTACAATAGACTGATTCTTACTACTCCTACGTCCGGTGCTGTTCTAGAGATCTTTGTCCAAGGATATTGCTCATGGTGTTTGATTCATCCAGTATCGGTCAAAAGGTCAAAAGCTAATTTTAACACGGTGTTTGTGCGTGAAAGCAAAAACCAGTATTGGTCGAAAGCTGATTTTGGGTCGCAAGCTAATTTCAACACGGCGTTTGCACGTGAAGATAAAAACCAACTGTTTTTGCCCAAATTGGACAGTGTACCCCCTTGATATTGAATTTTCTACAGGATTTCTACGAGGCTCTTGTACCAGGAAGCTCCGTAAATCAGTTTTGGTCTCCAGTTTGCTTCCAATCGGATTTTAGGTAAAAAGCTAATTTTAACACGGTGTTTGCGCGTGAAGATAAAAACCCACTGATTTTGCCCAAATTGGACAGTGTACCCCCTTGATATTGAATTTTCTACAGGATTTCTACGAGGCTCTTGTACCAGAAAGCTCCCAAAATCAGTATTTTGATCTCCAGTTTGCTTGTGATCCTCCAGCTGGTCTTTCATTGCGAACCCCATACGGGTCCAGTAGGATCTATACGTACGAGGAGACTCGTTGAAAGGCCATCAGCCTAAGTACGCTATAAACGTCAGTCGGTCTTTATTATGACATTTTATTACTATAAACCTTCATGGTTGAATATATTTTAATAGTATGGATTTGCATTGCTTTCTATCAAGACCATATCACTTGACGGACACGATTGAAGTGTTATATATAAAGCGCGCTGGACAGGCACTTTAAAATTATTGGATTCCCACTTTAACAAGTGAATAGAACTATTACGGTGTAACGCGTAAAAACAGAGTGAGCACACAGTTCACCGTGTAATAACTTCGTAATGAAAACAAAAACTGCTTGATACTACGTACTGTATTCACTAAATTAATAAACAACCATCAACAACTGCAATCAGCAGTATCCTCCTCAATGGCGAGGACGCTTGGATCAAAGAGCTTAATAAAGAAAGGACAAGCTCCAGAGACTTCATATCATAAACTGTGCACTGTTGAGCAGCTTGTCGTGTATTTCTATTGGATATATATCAAAACTGAAGGAACCGAGGGTTGGGACAACAAAAAATCTGGTTCAACTGAGCACTGGAGACACTACAGAGTGATCCATGAGCACTGGAAAACAGCTTCTTCTTTCTATAACCGAGCCAAAGTAAGTAGCGATTGCTGTCAATTAGTCGTTATTGTACTAGTGCTATACTGCTGCTCACAACGCCCCCTCCTCCAGAGATTGAATCTTCTTGCTGAAGCGCTGATAGAAACCGGCTATCAACTTGAAGAGCCTGTCACCGAAGGTGTCCCAAAGACTCCATCTTCAGTTCTTGCTGATCAACAGCAGCCTCCACCATTTACAACTCCTCCGCCATCGCGAAGCGTTGTGCTGCCAAAAACACCTCCTCCGGTCTTCTCTCCTCAAGCAAGAATGCCTGTTAGCGCCCCCCCATCCTCCTCAAAGAAGCAGCAGCATCGACCTGTGGTTCCTGAATCTCTCCAGGCAACAACTGTCGATGACCTAGCCAATGCCACAAACAACATGTCTCTTGAAGATGGCAGTCATGTTTGTGTCTTGGGAAGCGCCTATCCTACTATCATAGGAACTTGGGACTCACAGGACACCAATGATGAGGATTCCTCTGATGATGAGTATGAAGATCAAGTCTTCACCATGATCAGGATGATCATGCACAATGCAATACATGCTGATCTTATCATCCCTGAGTGGATCGATCCATTCAATCTTCAGCTTACGATTCGTTGGCCAAAGTGGTTCAAGAAGGTCAGCCGGCACATCGCGATTCAAAAGGGGCAACATCAAAAGTTCCAGTTTGATTCAAAGCATGCTGTCATTAGGACCATGAGACGCTACCTCCGAAAGCTCTATAAGAAAGATGCTTTTGGTGATCCAATGAAGGAGAAGATCATCGAAGACAGTATTACCATCCAATTTGCCACAGCAATGTGTACCGAAAAGGAAGCTGTCCATGTGGACGTCGTTGATATCAAGGTGACCGATGATGATCTTGATGATGGAATCGGTGAGCAGCTTCCTCCAGGGGGAGTCATCAAAGTGCTTCAGATCATTGCTGAAGCGGACATGGGTTCAAAGAAGCAGTTGAACCAACGCATCCGTGTCGGTGGAAGGACTGCTGATCTAGGTAAGGAACCAAGTGGTGTGAAAATTGGTGGCGAAGACGGGGGCAATGCTGCTGAAAACAAGGCAAAGATCGATCAGAAGCAGCAGGCAAAGATCGGTCGTCAGCATCAAGAAGAGATAAGAATCCAGCAGCAACAGCAGCAGATCATTCCATTTGCTGCTCAGCCTCCACCACTAGTAGTAGACGACGACAGCAGCATGGATGAGAGGGATAAATCTCGTAAAAGAACCAGAACTCACCTCACCCTCCGTCCTCGTCATAACTTAGGCAATAAACTTGATAAAGGTGGGGCCGACAATCAGGACATGAGACTTTGACTGCATGATGAACACCTCCTCCGACAAGCAGAAGCATCGATTGCAACATGTGACTCAGGAGCCGACGATTCAATTGAATCAAACACGGATCTTGATCCAGCGGCAACCATAGCAAGAGATATCATGGAACTCAAGTTTGAGCTTAAGAAGTTCAGCAAGAACCACTAAAGAACTCATTGCTTGGTAAGAAGAAGAATGGAACTCAGACAAGAATAATACGAGGATGACGACTTACCACCAGCAGCAAGATATGAGGACGACGAGACAAACAAGAACAACAACATAGTAGTAGTAGTAATTTACAGTAGCTTAGTGGTCCTCTCGATTAGCGAGGAAACAAGCCTGTACTCAGTAGCAAATTTTCTGTATCCCCAGAGGAACACAAGCTGTAGATGTAGTGGAGATCTTCTGGTTGCTGGTAGTAGTGTTAATGGGAAGTTCTCCGGAGCGAGTGTCCCTTTTCTTTGCAAAGAGCAAAGCACTACGGCTTGTTGAGGCTAGTACAGTGTTAAGAGAGAGCAACTCTACGGGACTAGTTGTTAATTATACAGCACCAATGCTGAGGAATTGCATGCTGGCGCGTGTTAGCGCGTGCTGATGATATTAATTAAATTAAGTAATTAATATTTTAATTAAATTTAATTAAGTCAATTAAAAAAATTTAATTAATGTTTTATTAATCGATTAATTAAATTTAATTAATCAAAAAATTAAATTTAATTATTGGAGAGTTTTTGTTAATAAAATTCTTGATCGCGTTTCCCCAAAAACAGGAATTTGAATAACCCCCAAAGTGGAGAACCAGCAGAATCGAAAATAAACCGTTATTTTTATGAAATACCGTTATAGACGCGCGAAAATGCGCGAGAATATTGAAAAATTGGTCCCTTCGGTCCCTCTCCTGTTTTTTGTTTTTTCTCTCCTCATTTCACGAAGTGTACTCGTAGGCAGTTTACGGTATGGTTGGGGGTTTTGACACCAAACATCACCGKCATCGGATCATCATAAAAAATCCCTCCGGTGGATTACGTACTTTACTGTAGGACACGGTTCGGAGCGTGCCAAATAGATCGTTCGACCTGTGTCAGCGATATCTTCCTTCCGTCGCCGTCGCATGATACTACGAGTACGATGACGATTCATTCAGCTTTTTTCTCTTTCCAAAATCGGAAATCGACGTCGCATTGTAGCGTTTTCATAGTGATACCAAATACACAAAGAGTCATAAACTCGATAACAGCATAACACCTAGTAATCCAAAATGCGCAGCGTTTTCACTTTCCTCTTCCTTTGCATTCTTTCAGCCCCACGAGTAATCCACTCGTTCACTRTGCCGACTGTCACCATTGTCCGAAGAAGCACTCCTGCGTGCGATCGCACCCTTCGCATGGCACCCAAGGATCCATCCCGCTCAGGGACCAAAACAGATCGGATGGACCGACTGGCAGAGATGGAAAAACTGGGAACGGCTACCGACGGTGACAACAGCGTCTTTATCAAGGCCGCCGGGGGGTTCTTTGCTTTGATCGTGATTGCCATTGCTGCGGCGGCGTCCAGCGGGCTCCTGACGCAGTATTAAACAATGGCCAGATCCCGACTGCAACGCTAGACCGAAACATCAAAAACTGAAAGTTTATCATCCGTCTGAAAATGTAAGAGAAAGTTAAAAGTCCTGGATTCGTTGACGCGCATACAAATGACGGTCGCTCTTTGATTGCGAAAGTATGGTGAACCTACTCCGTTCTCACGTTCGTCAATCATTTTCGTAGCACGGGTACAAAGCTGAGTTGCCGGCAGAGAGAGCAAGATGGTGTCGACTGCGGGCGATCCTGGCCAACAGTCTGGAGTTATAGCAATGTGCAGAACGGAAGTAGGCAACGAAGAATTGGCATATCCTGACGAAGTTGAAAAATAATCTAGATGCGTCTTAAAAACCGGGAACTCCGCTTCGTTTTCCAGTGCCTTAGTAATCATCATAAATGACATTCAAATTTGAAAAACGTGTCACATTCGCATCGATGCCGGCTACTGCTGGCTTAAAGGAAATGATAATTGTATTGAAAAGAGCATGCGATGGGACCAAAACCTGCTTTGCTTTTGTGCTGTCATTATTGATTCTACGGGACGATAAATTCAAAATGAAACAGGCATAGATCGGTATCCCGGCTGCAAAATATCCTTATTTGTGTGAAATGTTCATATGCTCTTTAGTGCATGTTTCTGGGGGGTCCACAGTGAAGAGTTTAGCCTCAGAATTCGAACATCTCGAGATTTTTGTCCTTAGTGCCGCCAAAGAAAGACTACAAGCTGACACATAGTAGTAGTATATATATATAGCCAGCAGAAGAAATAGATGCCTCTGATGGAGGCGATGTGACACAGCCTTGCAAGCACCTGATGGATAACTCGTACTGCCAAACAAAATTATACAAACCCAATGCAAAAAGCACCAACATGGTTGAAACAAATCTGCACAACGTAATTTATTGTTAATTTCGAACATACTCGTCGTTGCTTAGGTTGTGTAGATCACGCTGCCCTAGCACCACGCTGCTCTACTATCTGCATTTGAGTTTCTCAAGGTGAGTTTCTTAAGGGCATCAAGCGTATTCCTGTTTGGGCAGCAAACCAAACGTTAGCACGTATTGTTTGTCGTTGTGTGTTCAATCGCACTTCGTAAGTGTTTTTTTGTTCGGTCGTTCGGCATTTCAAAGAGTACCGGCAACCTATTTGTTGTTCCAAAGAATATCGGCAACAATCGGAGCAAGCGATTCGCCAATCGATTGATAACCCTTGGGAGAAAAATGCAAGCCATCTGGTGACCACAAGTCGCTGTTCCGATCGTACTCTTGTATGGGAAAGGGAACGAATACCGTTTTCGCATCGCTGGTCGAAGTGGTTGCTGACCACGACTCTAGCTTGGAGTTGACTTCCAAAGCTAGGGACCGTGCCGATTCCGAGTGGACCTGCCATCCGCTCGGTGGAATTCCTAGGGCGATCGTTCTGTGGACGTGACCCTGCGAAAACGCTTGTTCGTGAATAGATTTGATGGATTCGAAGATACTTTGCCCGTCCTTAGAATGTGCAAGATCGTTTGTGCCGGCCAGAACCACCACGAGATCGATGGCTGTGTGTTGTCCCTCCTCTTCAGAGGAGGAAACTGATCCTTCGGTCTCTTGCTGTTGTTGTTGCTGAGCGGCTTTTTCGATGATATCCGACAAGCCTCCATTCCTGAGCAATGATGGGGCCGTCCACCCGGGATATCCCTTCCACCGGACTTGAACGGTCCGTTCGATGTTGTCTAAAACAACATTGTCGCTCGGGTTTAGTTTGTGCTTGTTCAGGGACTCTTCGAGATGTTTGGCGTATGGGAACAAGTCGTGGTTCGGCGGAGATGTTCCCGCTGTCAAGCTGTCGCCAAAGCAAAATACTCTTCTTGGAAATGACGACGATAGAGCACCGGATGTAGCGGAGGATGCTTTCGTTCCCGCTCGAACATTGTGATGAATCATGGCACTGGAAAAAAAGGTTGTTCCACAGACGAACACCATAGCCAGAAAGGAGAGAGTGGCAATTGAGGTTCTCGACAATTGGGATGAGAATGAGAACCCTGGATTTCCTGGCGCCGATGACGCTTCAGACCCTGCCCTCATGGCGTTTTGTGCTACTGTGCTGTTCCTTATCTCGTTGCGAAGGGTGTTCTTAATGCTCCTTCGCAGTATTTCTGGTTCGGAGAGGCTTTTCTCTTACTACCGTATATGCGAAGTACTTTTTCTAGTACCATATGACATGTTTTGTAATTCCTTCCTCTCCATTCTTAAATATTTAAAATACAGTACTCCAACAGGTCCCTGTGGCATAGCTTCTTACCAGCCCAAAGTTGGACAATGTCATATCCAGTAGGTGGAAGGCTCAATCTGATAGTGCTCTTTCAATTTAGCTACTTGGTTTTGCCAGGGGTGGCTCCTTCCAGTCAATTTGGATGTCTCTACTACTAGTAGTAATAGTAATTGCTTCAATTCCACCCCCATGATRTTTGGTGGTGGTCCAACAAGTAAAATCCACCAGCAGCCTGTCCCTCTGGTGGCATAACAACTGTTCAACTAAAAGTTTCCAGGCAGTCATTCTAAGGTGGATATGCCATGATCTGATGTGTCCTGTCAATTCAGCTACTTGGTTTTTCCCAAGAAGGGTTCCTTGGGAGTGACTGTCCCCCTAAAAGTGATGTAAAGTGTGTGCTAGTAGAAAAGTGAGTCGATACTCTTATCGAGGATTGACGAACTATGAAATCTAGAATGGATCGCTGTGGGGATCGAGTGAGGTGTGAATCGAATGAGTCGAGTCACTCACACAAGTGAATGAAATGAGTCATGTYGATCATATGAATCCAGTGGGATCGCGTGAGTCATATATGTATGGTGTGTATGAATYGTAGATACGTATCGTATGTATGTTTCGTATGTATGAATCATACCCACGGTCTGATATCCTATGGACAACACGTTTTGCAAACCACCAGTGTGGGTTTTTTTTTAAGAAGAATTTCTTGCTCCAACATAGCAGGGCTTGTTTCAGAAATTTATTCCGCACCAAATACAGCTCCTTAGACAGAGCCATTGCAYAGGCATGCTGATTTCATAGTGCCCTTTCCACTTTTGAACTCTACTACTAGTAGTAATCTGACACTTGGTTATGGAGATACTACTACTACTAGAGCTGCTGGAAATTAACAAATTGGGGCATTCTTGTACCATGTTTAAGAATACAGTACTAGTAAGAACAAGGATATATGAGCTAAAATGACAATGGTATTCAGTGGCCTTATTCAGTAGAGGGAGACTTTTGTATCAACATCCTTTGCAACAGATACGTACGTACTGTATTCGAAGGATACGTACGTACTGTATTAGAAGGATACGTACGTACTGTATTAGAAGGATACGTACGATACGAAGCTTCGAAGAAAGGGAATGGGAGAACATACCATTCCTACCTACATATCATAACACACTATTCATATATAGAGATCATACGATCCTTCGGTTGAGGAT